ACGACGGTCGATTATTTTCGGCCCGTCGTCGTCGGAACCCGTGTAACGCGCAACACGAGAAAAACGCGTCCCCGAACCGGCGTCGTGTGCGCGCCCCTATGTATCATTATTATTGTTATTGTTATTATTATTATTACTGTGTCACATTGCGTACGGACGTATATACGTATATTGTAATAAAATACGGCGCGACCGGCGCGCACAATATAACATATTATTGTAAACGGGAAACAGAAAGAGAGAGAGGAAAAACGCTATGAAATAATAACGTTGTAAAACGACGTTGTGTCCGCGCCACATAACCGCCGTACGTGTTACGAGTGCTTCGCGCCCCCCCTCGAGGAGAACACGCCGCGCCGCGGCGGATGGCCGTGTCCGCGGTTTCGAGTGCTGCCCCGCCGTGGTGCCGTTCGAGAACGTTTGTCGAGACACGCGACACTCCAACCGTAAGACGTTATTATAAATATTTCGGTACGTGTTTTGGCGATTCGGTTTTGAGCAATGAACCGCGTTACCAGTTGGTTGTTCAGCGGACAAACTGTTTTTTTGGCGACTTGGTTTCGGGTACCCATTACTAAATTTTACATTTAATATATATATTTTTTTTTTTTTTTTCTATAGTGAATATAGCCTAAACGATAACGCCAATGATTCGTTATATCGCGATGATAATGCGGACCGTGCATTTTAGCCGTATCGGTTATAATTGTCTAAAAGCGGGAAAACCACAAACAGTTAAAAATGACAATAATAATTAAAATATTAACCTATAATATCTAGTAACAAGATAAAAATAAAACCGAAATTGTATCCTCGTAACTGCAGTCATCCCCGTCGACAGAAACCACTTCGGAGACGACTCTATTGAAAATCTACTATCATCGTAATTTTCATGAAAATTCTGGGGGGATCAACCCCTGACCCCCCTCCTCCTTGTATACGCGCCTGATTTACTGTAATTGTTCGATAGCTGCATGCACTTTTTGACAACCGGGTTGTCGGAATCGGCAAACAATTATTGAAAACCTTTATTGATTTCGATTACTATTGTTATTATTCTTATCGTATGGTATTTAACAAATATTACAACTCAATAAAATTATTAAAACAATTTAATTGAAATAGAATATAAATAAAATAAAACGAAATGTAATAAAAATTAAGATATTACATAATTAGTCAAAACTTACGGTAACGTTGTAACTTGTGGTAGGACGACGTTTTATAGAAGAATATCAAGTGATTTCAACCGGATTAGAGCTACATTCGAAATCCTAAGGATGTCGTTAATTGGTTTATTATTTATTATTGTTATTGTTTATGAATTGTTTATTTCGGTTACTAATAATTTACCGATAAGGACTGTATCATTCAATCGTTCCATCCGTTTTCTACAATAAAAAATACTCTACAGTGGATAAAAACGTTTGGCGAGTAACCGACCGAGTAGCAAACAACACAGCAAATTGTTTACTGAAAGTTGCATCGCGAAAACACGCCAAAATACTAGACGTGCTTTGGCGCGTCTGCAAACAGTTTTATACGCTTGATTAGTACTTATCAGACTGTTATCAGTAATAATTTGATTGTTTGTATCCAAACAATTTAATTGTACAATAAATTAAAACCACACATAATATATTTTTAAACACTTATATAATATTAAAATATGAGTTAATTTACATACTAAGATTTGACTGTTATTAAATAAAAGTTATTCAAATGAGATTTTCTGGAATAAAATAAGTATATAAGCACTTAAAATAAAATCCAAAGCCCAAAACTGCTATTGAAACATTGGTACATTGTGATGTATTTTTATCAAAACATAAATATATTACTACAAATTGTTGCAACAATTACCATAACATCAGCAACAGCTGAAAGATCATTTTCTTCCCTACGACGAATGAAAAATTACACGAGATCTTCTTATCTAAGAATCTAAGATTCATAAAGAAATTTCCATTGAAATCGATGAAATCATAAACAGATTTTCTCGACAAAGGCAAAGGCGAATGAAAATTGGTCAAAAGACTAATGAACTTGTTAATTTTTCATATTGTATCATTTCAAAATATATTACAACTAATGTATAATGTTACATATGTATTTACTGAAATTGTATATTTTGTTTTTCTGTAAATACAATTTAGTTTCCCCCTCCCATATTTCTAGATCTGCTCCTGTTTGTATGTATATTTGTATTCGTTTGGATCCAATCGTGCTGCTCGATAAGGATTTCGATCAGATAATATGACGTCACGCTAATCGAGCGTACTATCGTAACCGTCGAACCGACGTCTCGGTCGTCGAACACAATCGCGATAACCGTAATCGCATACATCATTATTTGAGTCAAGGTTGTCGTCCGAAAACACGAAACCAAGATTTTATACATGCGCTCTTATTTAGACATAATGTAGCCGTGTACGCGTGTGGAGCGCGGGCGCCGACGAAGCCGGACGAAATAAGACTGGAATATTCGGGTGATTCGAGGTGAAAATTGTGCGTAAAATCTACGACCCCGAAAGAAACGAGGCGGACAATACGTACGAACGCAGAACGGTGGCAGAGCCGAGAGCAGTATATTCGATGAACACGCGGACACGGTACCCGGGACTCCTCGGAAACAGACGAATAATTCGGAGGAACGGTGGGTCGAAACATTACGCGATGTCGCGACCGGGGAAACGGTCGAGGTATACCGGCGGATCGATCGAGTCGAGGAAGACCCGGGAGGCTCCCGGGAACGACAGATGGTGAACAACCGACTGAAAACAAATCGGTACGGAAAGGCGTGACGGAAGCGCCCCGTTTTCTATTTCTGATACCCGGTAGTATTGGTATTCGTCTCTGCGTGTCGCCCCGTTCCCCCGTGGTTGCCACGAAAATCGCCTCGCTATGCTCACGAGGCTCGCGAGTCGCCACCGAACGGTGAACACGCGCGGAATCGTATGATTGAAAGCCGGCGAACAATACGGTTCGGCAATGTCGTCGTACGTTTACGAGCGAACGAAGTGGACGATTTGGCCAACCCGCAGGTCACTCTCGATCGCCACGCAAAAACACCGCGGCCAATGAACAAAATATAATATCGGACCCGAATCTGTCGGTGATATTTGCACGCCGAATGTTGAATTCCGGTTAAGATTAAAGAACCCGAACCTACGATTATTTAAAAAAAAAAAAAAATCTTGAAATTAAGATTTTGACAAATCGCCGACGTCTCGCGTGATGATAAATTATCTTGCGGAATACAACTATTCGGGCACGACAAAAAAAAAAAAAAAAAAAAAAAAAGACGAGCGTAACTTTCCGGTATTGTATATTTTAAATTATAAAAACTAATACAACATTTCCGATTCGGATTCGGCCGAAAATGTTTAACCGCGAACATCGCGTCCGGTACGCCGCCCGTAAAAAACTAAATTTACCCTGTAGTACGTATCCATACCTTTCCGACGTCCCGCTCGCGTCGGCCTACACGCGCGAGCAGCGTTTTGCTGTTAACATTTTGTAGACCCGCGTAAAACACGTGCCGTTGTCGCGCGTAAACGAATTCGGTCGGATTTTCGTCGGCTCGAAACCGTCTCGAACCGAACCGGACCCGACAGCGCGTGCGACACCACCGGGAACTATTTATAGTTTACACCCGCCCGGCTACACCACGTCGTCGGCGGCGTTGTCGGGCGCGGGCGGCGGCGGCGGCGGCGGCGCGAGGCGCCCGCGTGCAAGGGATGTCCCCGTACCGTTTTTCGTGTGCCGCGCAACGCGCGTGCGTGCGGCGGAGAAGATGTGCGGCGGCGGTGGTCGTGCGGCGTCTCTTTACTTCCTGGTGCGCGCGCGTAGGGTTCAACGACTGTTCCGACAAAAATATAAACACACATGCATGCGCACACGCGAACGAACGATCCGAGCGCGGCGGCGGCGGCGGTGGCGGCGAGGGACGACGACTATGTACGACTACGAGTTCCACGAACCAGGAAAAGCCGGGGCCATAGGTCCGGGCCGGACCGCGGTGGTCGCGGTGACCCAGTGTCGAGGGAGGACGACGGCGAGCCCGGGCGGGCGGTCGGTCGGTCGGTCGGCAGGCAGTCGGAGTGCCGGACTGCCGGCCGGCACTCCCGCGCGCGCGGGCGCGTGCGCACGCGCGGCATACGTATTATACATACATAGTAATAATAATAATAATAATAATAATACCTAGTAATAATATGTGTGAACGCGGCGACCGCCGCAGCCACAGCCGTCTTCTTCTCTTCGCGCGGCGACCGCGACGCCGTCGTCGGCGGAGGAGGAACAGTCGAGGCCAACAACCTGACTAGTAGGTCACAGAGGCACGATGGTCGCCGGCCGCCCGGCCGTTGACTCACGTGACGTCACCGGTGTCCAACCCGGCGGTGCCCGTCCGTCCGCGCGCGCCGCGGAAGGTAGCCGCGCCGCGCGACCCGGAGAAACGACGACTTACAATAATAATAATATTACTGCATACGTGCGCACATAATAATAACGATATATAATATTATGTCGTATTATTATTATTGTTGTTATTATTATTACACGCGCGCGCGCGCGCGTGCGTGTGTGCCGGTAGAGGAATGCCGGGAATCCGATTTATTTATACGGGTAATACTGTCCGCGGGCCTAATGACAATAATGCGGGTGACGCGCGTGTGCATACGCGCGCGCATGTATTATTTATTATCTATTATTGTTGTCCAATATATTATTATTGTTATTATCATCGTCGCCGGGGAACGGTTCGCATAACACGATAGTAACGCGCGCGCGCGCGCGTCTTGCCGGCAGAGAAGTGGAATTAACGTACGCGCGCACAATACCTATTTTCATAGCGGGTCAACGTGTCTAGGACGTCTGCGGCACGCGGTTCCGACGGTTCTGGCGGCATTTCTTCGGGTGTATTTTCGGCCGCCGCCCGTCGCCGGATTTGTGTGCGGGCGACCGTGTCCGCCGTGTAATCGGTTACTGGGGGGGTTCGCGCATCGGTCCCCGCTGAAAACCGCGCGGAAACCGTTGCAGGGACCGGTTTCGTTACGAATAACGAGTTCAATCGCGGGGCAATCGGTCGGATGGCGCTCGTATCGCCGGCGCCTACCCGCAGGATGTATTCCAGTCGAATACCAACGCGTTGTTCAATCCGTTTGCGAAAAATTACAGTCCGTCAATTCGGAAACCCCACGGACGGTTTTTGTCGTAAAGCTCGTTCCGACCGCCTCGACTGGGTACGCGGTACGTTCCGTTCGCGATGGGATTGGGGTCGGGGAAGGGAACTGTGGTCGGGGTCCGTGTATCGAAACGGTATTCGCCATCACCCCGTACAGACCACCCGGGACCCAATCCGGTGTACCTAATTGGGAACCGGCTCGCGGTAGGCGTCCGGTCTACGACGATAACAATAATAACGCGTCGGGTTGTACTGTTATTATTGGTTAGGTGTCCGTGGACGTATTACGATATAATAACAACAGTATCATTGTCGCGGCCGTACAATAATATAACGCAGTGGTCAAACGACGACACGGGCGGAACCGTACGTACACAGTGCGTAGCAGAGGTATGCGCGGCGGAGAAAAAAAAGAAGGAAAGAAAGAAAGAAAGAAAGAAAGAAAGAAAGAAAAAAAAATAGAAAAGAGTGCAGGTACCGTATTATAGTTATAATATCACTTGTGCGCGCGAGTATACGAGTATATTATGCGACGTAATTTATGTGGGCACCCCGTCTTGCCGCCGCGCGCAGCGGTGCGATATTGCGTGCGTTACGTACATGTAATACCTCCCGCGTTTTTGAATTGGGCGAACGCGGAGACGGTGTCCGTGAAAGAAAGGAGACGCGAGAGAGAGAAAAGAAAAAAAAATAAAAAAAAAAAAAAAAAAACCAGGAACAGTACAATAATACGGATATTGCGGGATGTTTTTATACGCGCCTACCTAGGTATTATGTAGGTGGGTACTAACCTATAATAATTTATCGACCGTTTATTACCGGGCTCACGCCGTTGTCAACCGGACGATACATAATATGATCGGTTATGTATGCGTACGCGTATAATGGCCGCAGGTATATAATATACTCGTGTGTGTGTGTGTGTGTGTGTGTGTACGTACAGGTACGTATACGGTTGACCGACGGCGGAGAGCTAAAGAATTTGACCGGTCGATTCAAAACCGAATATACGGTATACGTTATTGTAGTGTATATTATATATTATACAATGCAATACATGAATGTAAGTGTATTTTACACATACACGTATATATTTATTTATATGTATGTTATGTGTGTTATGTATCAATGTATCCGCGTGTACGTAAATATATACGTATTGATGGTTAAAAAAAAAAAAAAAACGCGGAATAATAGAATACACGATGCGTATTCCGCGCGAGGACGTGCGGCGAATATTTTACTATAAAAACGTAAAACTGTTTTTTTTTTTTTTTTTTTTTTTTTTTTTTTTTTGTAAATATACATGTATATATTCGGAAACGGGTTAACGGTAAACGTTGATTTGAACCGAGATTATGCAATTATAAATCGAGTTGAATCAGCAATTCTATGACTATACGTATGTATACATATATGTATATCGGATTACTACATATTATTATTATTATTATTATTATTAGTATTATACGCAGGCAGGTACCGTTAGAAAAACCCCTCCTCGACTACACGTTTTTTACATTTTTTTTTTTTATTAAAATATTTTTTTTCCTTCTGAAAATATCACATAATATATATATATACATACGACGAATACAAAATAGATTCTCCGATAATATTATTATGCGTGCCGACGTATAATATTATGTTATAATAATGCATAGTATTATGTATTAAAAAATAAAAAATAAAACTAAAATACCTGTATGGTGTAACATTATGATGACGATGATAATGATGATGATGATGATGATGAATAAATTTAACGTAACGCTGCTCCGGGTACTTAAATATTTCGGTTATTTTAAACTTAAAACGTCGGGTAGGCAGGTACCGTTACGTATTTTGGCACGTAGTAAGTTCGCAGGCTATGTAAAATTTGTATTTATTATTTTTTTTTTTTTTTTATTCAAAATAATTTATTTGATTGCATTAAATTTGTATATTTTAAACATGATATTTTTCTACGGACCTTAGTTCAAAATAGGTAAGCTGTAAACGATTTCGATAACTTTACAATACGTCCATGATGTGTGACTGAAAAAAACAATTGATACGTAACTTTGTAAGTTATTTATACATAGTTAGTTTATTATTGTAGTTAATCGTTATACGTGGCTTAAAAATAGTTACTCGTTTGGATTTGCACGCTCGAAAAAATGATCTGAACACACTATAGATATAACACACCTATACCTCGTTCAATGTCAATAATAAATTTCTCATAACAACAGTTAACCCAAAATTAATTATCTAAGCCTCCCTAACCCTTTATAAACCCTATTTATATATAATATGGCTATAACGGTACACCTATATACTTAACGATATTGTTTCTGCAAATAACGCTGACTTTAATTTATATTGTTTTTAAAACGGTAATTATTATTTAATTTTTTTTATAAAAACACTATGATTACAAAATATAATTAAATTGATGTGTTATTAAAGGTACTTAATTATTTAATATAATAACGCATTAACAATATTAGTGTAGTGTGTAATATATGTATATATATATATATATAAGTACTCTATAATTATAAGTCATTTAAAGATTATACATACTAAACGTATTATATTTAGTTTAATTAAAGCCTTATTATTATTATTATTATTATATAAGATGCTTTGTTGCCAAATTAATTTTCTAGTTTTTTTTTTTTTTTTTAATCGCACTTATATGAATAAAAAAGCTGTCCAAAGATAATAGAGACGGGTGCAGCCACTGTTGTAGATGGAAAGTTGGGAAGGTGGGATATAGACGGGAATTCGATGTACATCTGTAAATCAAAAAAATGACCTCCCTAAAGTACCTCTCCAGTCAGATTTCCTTTTAGAAAAAGAGCTGTCGTTGTAAATCGTAGCAAAATTGCTGGTATAAAAGTTGTCCACAAGAAATTAATTTCAATTTCGGGGAAGAAATGCTTAAGTCAATTTCGTATAAATAATTGCAAAATAGCATAACCGAAAGAGCGTTCTAAATGTCTCGAGTCATATAATTATGCATAACAAAAATTGCACTATAGTGATGGATATTTTAATTTTCAGTATATTATGTTTTAGAATAATATTATTATAAAATAAACAACATTGTCATTTAAATTATTTAATAAAGAAAAAAAAAAGAGATTATACTGGGGATGGGTGCGGTCACTGTTGTAGGTGGGTAGTTGGGAAGATGGGAAACATAAAGTTATTTTATTTATATCTGTAACCAACGATAAACCATTGCTAACAAAAGGCGATTTGGAGCGAAGTTCGGTTATACATACTTTGAAAGGCCGTAATATTTCCGATTTACGTCAATATTTGAAATTAAAATTCATATAAAAAAATAAATACATATTATTTCAAACGCAACTTTTTCTTGTTGACCACTAAGTAAAACTCACAATGAACCTCCTATGAAATTGTTAAGCATTTCTGTTTAGTCTAACAATTTTATCCAAACAGTACCCACCAAACTAAAAAGGTCTATAAATAGCTTAAAAATGAATCAAATGTATTGAACTGCATTTAGAAAAAAGAAATATAAGATTATGTTAAAATTTCAAGTTTCTATTAATATCTTTAATTGAATTATATTATAAAACGAAATTTAAAATAATAAATAAGAATTATTTTCGTAAATTTTCCCGTTCATTCTACAAAATCTACGATGAAAATTAAAAAAACGACTTTCTCGGCTACCAACCAAATTAAAAAAAAAAAAACAAAAAATATCTCTTGTTTTTTTTCTATTTCTGGTAGACATCGAAAAGCGTAAAAATTTAAAATAATGTAATTGTAACGCCGTAAATTTGTCAGTTTTCATTTTACGTCATTTTCTAGTTTTTCTCGATTATTACAAAAACCAACAAAAAGATCATAAAAAAATTTCTTACACACAAACTAGATTAAAGATGCAACAAAAAAGGTCGCTTGTCGTTTTTCTATTGGAACAATATATATGGTAGGAAACATGGACCGTAAAAATGTTAAATATTGAATCGTACCGTAATTTGAAAAAATTGTATTTTTCGTCTTTTTTTGGTTTTTCCCAATTATTTCGAAAACCAATTAGAAAATAATAAAAATGACCTTTCTAATGTACCAAATAAGATAAAATTTCCTTTTAGAAAACATACTATACTCTACACTTCGGAGCAAGATTTCTTTCAAAAAGTTGTTTACAGATAAAAAAATTAACTAAAAATATGCACACATCACAATAAAATCAATAGGTCCCCTCGCTACGCTCCGAATCTAAAAGTGACAAGTCTTTTCCCAGCGATCAAAGATATATTACACACAGAATAGTGTTTGAATTAAAATTTGTTATCAATATAGTATTCACAATAGTATGATATACATACATGTAGTATTTTAATAATGATGCATCACGTTTGATAAAAGTGACTGTGTAGTAATAATAAAAATAATGATCTATTTAATAATTCTATTCCATATATTTGATATATCGAATAAATAGTGTTTTGATAGACATAATTTTAAACGTTTTCCATATTATAATATATTTTTAATTATAATTATTATGAGTACACATATTGTACCTGCTATTACATTCGTTAATCTAGTTTTGTAAATTATTCACTGTACCTAATATAATGAAACATTAATGGTAACGACCAAAATATGGACAATAAAATACCAAACTACTATAGTAAAGGTTTTCATAATAGATTTAGGCGTGCATTTATAAAGAGTGTTACTATTGTTTTATTTTTATTTTCCGCATAGATACTACATTGTATACCTATATATAAATAGATTTAAAGTTCATACAACTTAATGCACTTGCCTAATTTTTAAAACCATTATACTATTTTAGGTATACGTTCAAAACGTTTATAATATACAGGTACAATTTATTACAATACGAATATTTAATATTTTTATTTTCCATGATGGGTTATACATTTTTAATATATATTTATAACCTATATTTTAGTTTTACTATTATATATGTATACATTATATACGTTTTCTGTGTAAAAAAAATCGTATACATTCACTTTTAATGAAAATGTATTCTATACATCAATATGTCGTTCTCGATATAATAATAGTAATGTAATATTTTAATATATCGCCGCCGTCATGCAAAAAGTGACCTAGTGCAATTATTTATGGCCAAATATAGTCCCTATACATTCCTTCCTCCGAGTGTATAGAAAAAACAACCGATTTAAAATTCTAAATATTCACCAAGTAAACGGGTCGGTGTTGTTTTTGATTTTTGACTAAGTGTCTAAAGGTTTATATAGTCGTTCAGTTTTTCAAAGGTTTTTGTAAGACGAAAATTTACAGGAAAATCGAATAATAATACGATTTTTCCGACCGTGCATTGCGAATACTAACAGTCGTAATAGTGTACCGGCAAAGTTTAAATTTTACTCGAGACGCTTTTCGCCGCGTAACGATAAGGATACAAATGTAGGTACTTCTCATTATTCGGGACGATACAATAATAGTTATAGAATCGTGATTATATTTTCCTATTATGGTTATTGATAATATTAATTAATGGATTTTTTTTTTTTTATAACATCTGAGTTCAGAACAACGCGTTTCCTCCCGTATTATTACGAATCTGTTAATTTTTCTCATGCAATAGGTATACAGGCGCAGTAATAGGCTACGTAATATTATATCGTAATGACGACGAAATATTATAACGACTAGCAACTGCTTCGACTATCTGTATTAAATTACTTTGTATTATTATTATTATTATTATCATTTTTTTTTATTTTTTTTTTTAATAAAATATTATATGTATATGTATACAATAATAATAATAATAATAATAATGATAATAACGATAATAACGACAAATAAAATCCGACCGTCTCGCAGTAATATAATGTAGCTGATTCATCGTCTGGTGTCGGCGGTGGTGTACGAGTATCAAGTATATTATACACCTACCGCTATATGTATATATAATATAATATTATATTATAGTGTACAACACCCCCGACGTCGCCGTTAACGTTGTTCGTGTGTAAAACGGAGGGCAAAAAGGGTTAAGAAAAAGAAGAAAAAAAACCAAGAGAGAGACGAACAGGTAAAGGGTTAAGTAAAGGGTTAATAATTTTTCCGTCTGCAATAAGGGATGGCGGGTGGTTCGCCAGGTATACGTGATGCGTGCCATTTGCAGTGTGTGCGTGTGTGCGTGTGCGCGTGTGTGTGTATATACGCGCGTGTGTGTGTGTGTGTGTGTGTGTGCGTGTGTGTTGCGTGATGTATAATGATAATAATAACACGGCGTGTATATGTGTATACCCGTGCACATCACGTTGCAAGGTCCCGTAATCTCGGGGGAGACGTCAAACTTCCGCGTTCCCTTTCATCGTGGGAACTGCATGCTGCAGTGTATTTTACCTATACACGCATTTATATATACGCGTACATACGTACAACACCGTCGTCGTCGTCGTCGTCGTAGTCGTCGCATTTAATCACGACGACCCCGCCACACCCCCGTAAAAAAAAAAAAAAAAACATAATAAATATTATATACAATCGGAGGGGGGAAGGACGGAGAATTGAAGTTTTCTTTAATGGTCTTCATTGAACACCTGTTTTTTTACGCGTGTATTTTTTTACACTCCGATAATAATAATATACGTACGGTGCGATGGGATCAGAAATTTATATCTAGTTACTTCCTCGTGTATATAGGCATAATAAAAAGGTTTTAGGTTTGTATCGTATATAGGTATATGGGAACCGTGCAGATGGTATAATACTTAATATACACGTACAACGGTATCGTCCGTCACGGCGAACGCAAAATATCTACACGAGCGTTATAACAATGTATAAGTAATTTAATATTTTAGGAAAATTATAGAAAAAAAAAAAAAAATCATTTGTACGAATTAACGCGCTTTTAAATTTACAGCGGATACGGGTTTTATATACGTAACCGAGTATTTTGCATCCATCGCACGAAAAAACTTCCGCCGACTATTTTAAAACCTCCTCCATAATAGCGTAACAATTGAGAAAAATAAATTTTATTATTATTATTTATTTTCCTCGAACTGTTTGGTTACGTTAACGTGTTTTTATATTTCAAATGTAGAGCTGACCTCGGGACGACCGATAAAGTTGTATGTGATTTGGTTTCACAATCGCACGTGTGTTTGTTTTCGGTCAATAGATACTTTTCGGGGATTACATGATACGTCCAAAAATTTTTGAAGATATCTACGAGAATCTGTGAGCGGAATTATATGTTATAAGTATTATAAGACCCGCCGGGTGGGATTAGGCCCCGACGCCGAGTGCCTTTACTGCCATCATCCGCAGTACACCGCCGAACACACAATCTTTCATTGTCCTCACTGGGAACCCTCTAGCCAGGCAATGAAACTTTCGAGATTGATGGGTGCACCTCTCCGGGAGACGTCCAAGACTTGCTTTTCGGCCCTGTCGATCTGCCATCTAGGGATGGATATCCGCTGAGACATCAGCAGCTCATTTCCGCTTTCCAACGCACAAGGTTTCTGTCACGTATTGGAGGACATTCTCCACCGCAAGGAAGATGATGAGAGGACGGTGGAAGCCGAGACAAGGGATATCCGAAGAGCAGCTAGATGGCCAAGTCGACTCCAAGCCGGCGGATGCCGTGACACCGGGCCGCGAAATCCAGTCGCTCAAGACCGACGGTTTCGGAACCCGGGTCGTCGTGAATTCGATGAACGAGTTTCCGGACGACGGTATCCGTGAACCGAGTGGAATTGTCCGATTGTTGACTGGTTCACCTAAAACTAAAATTATTATACGACAGTAAACGTTGTGATTTAAATATGTACGATAATATTGTCATGCTAACATTTTAATATATCACGGCGTTTTTCTATGTCGAGCGGAACAAAGCGAAACGGTCGATGTACTCAGTTTTATAAAAAAAAAAATATATATATATATATATATATCATTATTATGTAATCTTAAAACTTAATGGCTTACATTTCACAAAGTGACAATTATTATTTATAGTTTACGTAGATAATTTAAAACGATTCTAAGAAACATATACTTGTTCATTGTTCACCATAATATTTCTCTAATTTGTAAATAGTTGAAAATTATCGTACGATCTATTGAAACGGCGTTATAAATCAGCCAAGAAAATAATTATTTATCTATAAGTATATACTTATGATTTGAATAAAATTGCGTTCAATATTATTGTAAAAAATGAAAAATATACATATTATGCGAAAGCGTATAGATTCCTGTTTGTTTTGCAGATAGAAAACAAGCGATTTTAGTATGCCTACTCACGGCGTTAGACTTTCTTAAGATTTTAAATAAAATCAACTTCATTTCAGTAAAATTATGTTATCCGCGCTAGCCAACAGGTGCACACTTATATTATATAATATAAGTGTATACCTGTCGGCTATATATAGTAATTTCATGTTTAGAATGTTAAATAAAAAGTATTTCGTTATAGGCACGAGTAGAGATCCTAGATACTAATAATAAAAAATTAAACGTAGGCTAAAGAATCTAGCTGTATAGGTATGAACGACTGCACGAGTATATCGGAAAATAATTATTTGTTGAAATGTTCGGTTTTATCATATTATAATTAAATTAAATTTTGTAATACTTTAAACGTTTAATTTCAATGATTGATATAGTATTTAAAATTAATTTTAAAATAATATATAATATACGGCGTGTCACTATTACAAAAACAAAAAAAAAAACAAAATTATAAAAAAAAAAAAGACGTATTATATATTTTGAAGAAACAGTTTAAAATATTATTACCCATAGTGCATACTAAAAAAAATAAAAATAAAAACGATTATCATACGTCTATAAAAACGAATAGATTATGTATAGTTATTATTTCAGGTCATTAGAATTAATAATATTAATTTCGATCAATTATAATTTAATGCGGTTATATTAAAAATGATATTGTTTTATTATAAAATCTATCCGTCGGTGAAATTGCAAGAGATAACTTGCAGCAAACAACTCGAGAAAATAAAACGTTTAATACGGAGATATTTTTAATAATATATAATATATTATAGCCATAGGTGAAAACTGGTCTTCTAAACTGCAACGTTATAATAATGTTATTATGGGTTCTGCAATGTTGTTTTAACTTATACATATTTTATATATGTTATTCAAATTAATACTATGGATTTATAATCTCGAGTGTATATAATATATTAGATTTTCTATTTTATACAAACAAGAAATTGTATTAAAAAAAAAAAAATAATAATAATAATACGAAATTTCGAAAAGATAATATTATTATTATTATTTAAACGAAATGCTATAAATATCAAAACGAAAATTGCGGTTCGGCTCGTTTAAAACCTCGCAAAAACGTACACATACATGTATATTGTATATACCATATTTATTTTTTATAAATGCGTGTATTATACAATGCTAATATATAATTTCCCTACCGTATACCTCGGAATCGTCAAAAGGTTTGCATAGCAGTAAAAAACCGCCGTGGATGCTGCCTAAACAGGCGGCGGCGGAGTAAACCCTCTGCACGATGCGATGAACCAGGAAGCCACCCTTGTACACACAACGAATAATAGTAATATAATAATAATAATAATAATAATAATCATAATAACACAACCGGTTCGAAGGCGCATTTTTTTTCACCCACGCACACATTGCATATATATATATATATATATATACAGCATACACAATCGTGGATAATGAATAGTAAAAAAAAAAAAATCCATGGTCCGAAACAGAGATGAGAACACACACACACACACACATATATGTTTTTTATGCATTTCGTTTCCTTTCCCACACCGGTTTTTTAAGGGGCTTCTTATAAACCAAAGCCACCCGGCTCCAAAATCTACACTGCTGCATCCACTACACACACATATATTATTATACATATATACAAACTCAATATACATCGTGCCTATTGATGAAGCAGTTTTACGACAGAAGAAATAGACAACACACACACACACAAAAAAAAAATTAACTAACAGCTGAAAGGGGCATTATACATTATATTATTGTTTGGATGTATCTGATTTCGTCTGTCCATCTGTCTTTGAAATCTCATACGCCATCGATATATAATATATTACATGTAAAGCGAACGGCCCGCGCAGGTTTACTTATATGGTCAAATTTGGCAAATTCCTGATATTGATTTTTTTTTTATTATATCGATATTTGTTTTTCAATGTCGTTGTGATTCGGTTTAATATAATTATGGAGGCTAACATTTTCGCAGAATAGTTTTATCGGGCTTTTCTCAATGTGGTAAGATATTCAAAACATTTCTGCGAAATTTTGAGCCATTCTAAATTTTTTTCAAGATTCATCATAAATTTTACTTTTTTGTCAAAAAAAAAGTTAAGCGAATTTCGGTACACAAATAGTCCATGCCTTCCTGGTGAACATACTAACCCTTCCCCTCAAATAGGTATTTTGACCTTCCCATCTTCATCATCAAATGGTTAAATTGTTAATTATTTGATTTTCTTTTAAAACGTATTAAACTAAAATTAAAAAACGTTATTATGTGTTCTTAAATTATCACGGATAAAGCGATAAGTACAACATTTAAAAAAATGTAATTTTAATTTTTTTTAAATACTGGTTTCAGCAAAAACTCATTGGCAACTCAAAAATAACTTATACTAATTGAGAAGGTAGTAAACGCGCTAATTAATAAACATCACTAGTCGCCATCTATTAAGTAATTTTAGATTCTGAGTGTAGCGGGAAATGTATTGGTTTTACAATGATGTTTATATTTTTTATTTTTTTTCCCCTATACTGTATACAAAAATTCTACCAGAAATATTGCTCCGATGTGTTAAGTTTAGCACCTTTTTTAAAAAGAAATTTTATATAGTTGGTACTTTAAAAAGGTCATTTTTTGATTAGGAACGTAGGAAAAACGAGAAAAGTTACAAAAATAATGGTTTTATTATTTTCAATTTTGTTTTTTTGTCGTAATTCAAATTAAAATGTTCATAGAAACTTGAAATTTAGACAGAAAACTTACATTTGATTTTTCTGGACGTGGTAAAGTTTTCAAAACATTTAAACCGTTTTTGAGCTATTTATAGAGATTTAAATTATTTAAGAAGTTTAATATTAAATTTTAATCGTAAATATTCCGACCTTCTAAAACACGTGTAACCGAATTCCGTTCAGAATCGTTTTTCATTAGCAATGATTAATCGTTGCAAACAGGTGTACATTAAATTCCCCTCTATGCCCTATATACATTCCCAACTTCTCACTTACAATAGTGGCCCACCCATTATACGAAGTATGTCGATCTCTTTTACACATTATACTTTTGATTTTAATACAAATTTAAATAAATTACGAGAACAATTAAGAATTATTCTGATATACTTAATAAGAAATTTAAAAAAAAAAAACTGAAAATCGATTCAATTATATTTTATACTACAATTTAACCAACTCAAACGAACCCCCCCCCAACTTTTCTATACCCTTGACGACCCTTCATTTCACCAACATCTATATTTAGAAGCGCTGGAAGTGAGTGAAGTAAGTCGACCGTCCGACGCACGCCACGGCCGGTATTATATTATAGCGCAGGCGTTTATACTTATGCTTTTCAATAATAATTTCTCCGTCATCATGATGTAGGTAAGTCGTCACATGTTATTCGACATTCTACAAGAACGACGAGCGTATATAAACATCAAATATATTATACAGGATATTAACGATAACGATGACGGTGAAATGGGTTAAGGACATAGGACGTGAGTGAATCTATGTTTGTGTGTGTGTACGGCGGTTACAATATATATATATATACCCACACACACACACACACACACACGCTCGTTTACAATTACACAAAATATATTACACTATATTATACTACTACTACTACTACTATTATACGTAGTAGTAGTATACTTTATATGTATATAATAATATAATATAATATATAGGTTCGTATTTTTTTTTTTTTTTACTCAAGTCGCAGAGAAAGTCCCGCAGAAGAAAGTGTTAATCGATTAGTGAAAACAGTATATATATATATATATATTTAAAAATGATGTTATTTAATTTAGAAAGTGATATCATGATGATGTACGAAAGTGAAATGATAAAAGTAAAATCACAAGGAATTAACGACATTATTATACCTATATAATAATGTATATTATATACCTATGTTTGTCGCGAAAAATTTGAAACGCTTTTTTTTTTTTTGTATAATATCCTAAATGTGTCGACTTCTTAATATTATTATGTGCGGTATACTGATACGAGAATAACTATATTGTATTAAAAACGAAATAAGTATGCAGGTATACCTATCTAAATTATATAGATAGAAAACTAAAGGAATACGATCTTTTATTTTTGAAACTTTATTCGAATATTTGGAAAAATATTATATTCACACATTCATCGTGATAAGGATAACGATTTAAATTCTATTGAGATTCAATTTTAAAAACCTAAAATATTATGTTATCAAAAATATAATACGAAAAACGTATGCCGTATGTGATTTGCAGTTTCATGCGAAAAAGACCCGAAACGTGCGAATTCTATTTTGAGAAAATCAAAAATAAAACCTCCTAACTCTTTCTTTGAACGTATAAAACGAAAAACAACAAAGCCGTTTTCTGACCCAACGAGTATGAAATATAAGATCATAGCTCGTAAGGTAACGATGTAAATACCTCCCAAAACTGAAAATCCACTTAGGTCCCTTTTTGCGTGCATCAAATCATATATTATTCGTCATATTAC